CCCCTCTCCTCTCTACCCCTATCACTCGCTTAGGCATGAGCAGCGCCGTGCCCTGCGGCCCTGCGGGGACCCTCCTCGTGGACCAGGGAGATTCCCGCTCACGGTCACTGCGCGCATGTTTGATGCATGGGTCGTGGGGCAGAGCAAGAGAGAGGAAGAGAGAGGGGGATGCGGGAGTACAGTGGGAGCAGCAGTGGACGTGAGTGTAAGAGAGAGAGGGATAGAGGAGGGGGTGAGTTTGGCGCCGACAGAGCGCGCTCTGTTGTTGATCCCAAACTGTTTATCCTGCAAACAAAAGGGAACACACACACACACACACACACACACACACACACAGGGGCCAGGCTGGTTGGGGGGTGGGGGGGCGGCTTGACGGGGCGTGGGTGCCGGGCCTGCCAGGGTGGGTCGAAACGGCGGCACGGCATACAGCGGGGTGTTACGGAATTAAATTCAGTGTTCGTTTCTATTTTCTTTTGCGGTGGAGGTGTTCGGCGCGTGGGCGTAGGCTAGGGGGGAGCAGGGGGTGGGAACTCGTTCCAGGGGAGGAAGGGCGAAAGGGTGGCTGGATCGGGGAGATAGGACTGACATACTGTCGCCAATAAGATGCATGCAGCCACGTGAAAATGCAATTTCCTGGGCGGTATATAGGATCACCCCCTCGACCCCCTCCCTCATCCCCTATTCCCTTTTCACGCACACATACACACCGAACACAGACACACTCCACACTCCACACACACACACTCGAACCATGAACCACGTGGCATGGTCCGTGTATAAATACACAAACGCAGGGACGCGTCCGGGGACGATTGGGGCCGGCGTGGCAGAGTAGTTCCTAAATCTCGCTCCTCCACGCTGTTTCCCTCGAAATATTTGTTGTTTTTGTGTCCCTTTGACTTGATCATCGACTCCTTTACTGTATCTGAGGCTAATCTAGTCCGCCAACGGGAGCAGCAGCATATGTGCATTGCATCCTAATCCAAGGTTAAAATGTGATATATTTCTTGTTGCAGGTTGCCCTGCAGTTTTTCTCCGGCAACGCTGGCTAGCATCCAAGGTAAGATGTCTGCTGAAACACCTGTTAGCCGTTTAGCAGCCTGTCATATGCCCGTTTCTCTTCAATCCCTCGGCTCTACTCTCCTACCCTCTCCACCTTCCGTTGTTGGGAAGCAGCAGCTCGAGGAGGCGGGGTGGCGAGGGGGGCAGGCTACGCCACTGGCTGGAGAAAGCTAGCCGGTCGTGCGAGCATCGCTCAATACGGGTAATTGTGCTCCACTAGCGCACCTGCCGCCCTGCCGCCCTCTGCCGGCCGCTAGCCGGACAAACTGGGCCGGCAAGCCGTCCGGCCGGCAGTGGTCTATGGCCATTTGCGTCCCGCGGAGAGCGACGCCTTTCTTCTGTTCCCCGGAACTGACTGCAGGGCCGGAGGTGGGAGAAGAGGAGAGAAGGTGGTTGAGGATCGACGCGGCTGTAGCATGGTGCTGTGGTTGTTTCCATTGCTTCCTGGTGTGATCGTGTTTTGTAAATCATTTTAGCGTGTGCCTTCATGATGATGATGATGATGTTCCTGATATTATTGATGATTAGGGTGACAAAAAACTGACTAACGCTGACCAAAGTCTAACCAAGGGGTTCAATTGACATATAAAGGACTTGTAACAGAAGTGGACTACGACTACCATTCCCAAACAATTCTGTAGCGCATTTTCAGCGCGAGAGCAAGAGAGGAAAATGAAAGCTCTAAAGACGCAAATGAAGGGGGCCCTGGGCTGGGTTTGTTTACCATTCATCTCTGTGGACAATTTCACAGTTGGCTGCATGAATTAATCCGAAGGAAAAGAAATGCCTGCGAAGAAAGAGGGCAAAGGATTGCGGAGGGGAACAATAACGTTACCAAGGGAGGGAAGTCCAGAGGGGAAAAATGTAGAAAGAAAGAGAGAAAAAAAGTTCTGGTGTGTAATTACTGGCGGGCAAGATGGCGCGGTCCGTGAACTCCGCGGCGAAGCGTGGTTGGGACCGCAAGACTTGCTGAGCTTCCCAGAAGTATTTGTTGTCCTCCTCTTTCTATTAAAGTAGAATTATAATTGCAATAACAGTCAACCCCGTTGGGCTGTGCCATGAGAAAGCCGAGATGAGAATGCATATGCAGTGTTGACACGGATTATGGAGTGGAAGCCGTTCGTTGACTCATATGTTACGAAGTGAATGCAGCGCCGTGACTAGCAGAGTGAGAAACGGAAGGCGAGCAGCAACTATTCTACACGGTGCCCGTGGAGGGGAAAAAAGAGGGAATAGGCAAATGAGATCGCTATAGAAGAAGGGCGGAGCACGGCTGGTCTACCTGGTGGCGAGCCAAGACGCTGCGTAGATGCTGCATCCTTGGAGTCGGTTCCCATGTGTGCCGACATTAGCAGAGGAGTACATTCCAGGTCTTCTTGGAATCCCCCCCTCCCCCCCCCC